TCATATTTGGTATGATCACATATTTGGTATGATCACTAAAATGGTGCCTTGTGATTTTACTTTATTTTTACTTTATGAAGTCTTCCAAATAAGGCCTTTCTTTCAAAGTAAGAATTCAATGTTTATCTAATTTATTAAACCATCTCCAACGGTTCATCAGATTTAGTATCAAATTTAAATTTGATGAAAAAAGTCATTTTTTCTGCTCCAATGGTTTCACCAAACTGATATCAAACTGAGAATGGAACAAATTTTTCACCAAACTGAGAATCTGCGTGAGCCTTCACCAATTCATTGTGTTGTAACGTTGCAAGTGAGCCCACCGGTCAACCTATCAGACGTCTGGCCGATCGACCAACTGGTCGACCGGAAATAGGTTCAAACAGTTCAAAATAGGTAGGTTCATACAGTTCAAAATAGGTAGGTTCATACAGTTCAAAAAGATTAAAAAAAATAAAAAAAATAAAATTAAACCTTATTGGTCGACCAATCGGTTGACCCACGGGATAACAATTCTTTTGATGCACCGTTGGAGCAACTGATATTAGATTGAGAAAATGAGCTATTTTTTACTCAAATTTTGTAAAAAAAATACTGAATCGTTGGAGATGCTCTTAGTGATACATATAAAATGATAATTGAAGATTTGCTTTTTTAAGAAGATAGTAAAAAGTTACATTTTAGTTTTTAAACTTATTTTGAATTATATCATCTTTTTTATTTTTTTATATATTTTTTAAATGAAGTTAAAAAATTAACTTTTAACCAATTTTTCAAAATAATCCATTGTTTACATGTTAATCTTGAATGATGTACCACTCTTGGATTTTAGTGCCTTGAAAATAAAATTTGAAATTAATATTTTTATAATTTTTTATTTTTCCTTTTCAAATAACTTTTCACCCCCATCAATTTCATTATTACAGGTTATCTGGTAGAGAAAATTAGAGAAACAACCCTCTTTAATTTTGGATAGTAGGAGATATCCAATATATTTTTTTCATTAGCTAAGATTCCTCAATGAAATTTCTCTCTGATCATACTAGAGAAATTTGATCAGAGAGAAATTTCAAAATTGATCTGTGAAAATTAAAATTTCTTTGTGTTGGGATGAATATCAAATTTTCTCTGTGAAAATGTTGAGGGATCCCAACTAATATAAAAATATTATATGTATTTTATCTTATAAAATCTTAATATCAAGTTCCTTAAAAAAAATTCCCTATTTGGTACTATTTATATGAGTTTATTCATATATAATAGCATAAATTTTATTTTAGAAATCTGTTCTAGACTATTTACTGTACAACTAAATTTAAAGAAAAAAAACAAATTCTCAAAAAGTTAGAAGAGACATAATTTTAACTTTTACTTTTTGTTTATAAACTTTTAATTTATAATAAAGTACACCAAAAAAAAAATTATTTTTAGTTCAAAATTTAAATTTTTATTAAACAACTTTTCAATTTAAAAAATTTAACATTCAGTTTTCAATACTTAATTTTCAGTTTTTAATTTTCAACTTTATCAAACATCACCTTATCAGTATTTTTTTTTCACGTGCATCTTAAAAACAAATTAAAAAAAATTTAAATACTTCTTATACAATTCTTAATATTAAACAATTTTCAGAAATAGTGAACTTTTGTATACGGAAAAAGTATATGTTATGTGGTGCATTCTACTATTGTGATTGACTTTGACGGCATGGTCCACTACATCTATGTTAGGTGTTTAGGGAATAATAGAAACATATACATTTGCGATTGGTGAAAGGTAGTGTCACGTGATATCTTAGCGCCATACAAAAATTTCTAAATAGATGAAGTTAAGTGTTTAAGCAAATCCAAGTGGCATTTCTTATTTTTGTTTTAAAATTTTAAAAAATGGATTATACTAACAAGTGCTCTAGAGACATTTGATGAGGAATAATCAATAATATTTTATTTTATTTAATAAATCTTGAAATTTGATCCATTTTAAGTAATAGATTAAAAATAGAAAGTTATTAAATTCAAGATAATTTAATATAAGTAAAAATTATACAAAATTACAAATTTAAAACAAATTAATATATTAAGTAAATCTTAACAAATGCCCAGGGACACTTGTTAGTATGAGGAAAGTTAGGAACACAAATATCAAATATAAAATTGGATACATATGTCTGGGGTCTACATGACGTGGGATCCAACTTATGTGAAATAATGTGTTCCATAATGTATTTGGTATATGTACACCTAGATTTATTATTTTAGTATTAGTCTTAAAAAATAAAAAAACTAATAATTCAATGTGAATTAAAAAAAAAATCAAATAAGTACTAAAATTTATAAATTTTAATAGTAATTAAAGTGTTAAATTTCTTTATTAACTTATAATTATTTTAAAAAGTTTTCCCCCTAAAAAATAACATAAATTATGGTAAAAATCGAGCATTATTTCAAGAGGATTGTTTTTTTTTTTCTTTTTTTTTTTCATAAACGTGATGAAATTGATCACGTGGGAGATGTCAATGGTAATCGCGTTGAACAATTTAGAATGGTCGATTGTACCACTACCGGTTAGACTCTTTCCGAGAAACACCAAACGTGTTTTTTGGTTTGGGTTTTGTGGGGCTGGTGTCAGACGCATCAATTATGTTTTGAGAAGTTGATAAAAAGTTAATTTTTAATTTTTTATCAAATTTTTTAGTTTTTTTAAAAGTAATTTGGAAAGTTGATAAAAAGTTGAGTTTTGATTTTTTAGTTTAATATTTGTTTATGGTGTCAAATCAAATTAAAATGATCAAAATATCTTTACCCAACATAAGAAATTTATTTTTTTTATTTTTTTGTCATAGGCCCCAATTTGTAATTTCACACTTGCGTTTTTGGCACTTCTCAAACCATTTTTGTTGCGTTTTTGCCACTTGCGTTTTTGGACATTCTGACAAAAACGTGACTTTTTGTTTTGGTTCCCAAAACGGCACTAATTCATGTATAATTTTAATTATGATATTATTATTGATCTTATTCATTATATAAATTACAAATATTAATTTTTTTTTAAAATTATGTCACATTATCAATTAATAAACTAATTAATACATATAACATTATTTTTTTTGTTATTGTTTTTATTTTTTTGGGTTATGTATGAACACAAAGGTAATATTTGGTAACGTTTACGTTTTTAGTTTATGTTTACAAAAATTTTATAGATTGATTTTTGTTTATTTTTAAAAAACATAAACTACAAACAAGTTTGGTTTGAAAAAAAAAAATGAAAAATTTTAAAAACATAAACTAAAAAATATGTTTGTTCAGACTTAAAATATTTATATTTATTTTTTATTTTTATTATTTCTGACAATAGGATCGTACATATTATAATTGAAAAAAAATTAATTAAAAAAATTAATTGGAAAAAATATTATTTGGAAAAAAAATATTGAAAAAAAATTAATTGTAAAAAAAATTGTTAGTCAAAATTTTAAAATTCTATTTAAAAATTAAAATTTTTCTCAAATTTATAAACTAAGAGAACTATTTATAAATCAAAAACATTATCAAATAAATTTTTATAAATATAAATTGAAAATTAAAAATAAAATAATTACCAAATAAGATTGTATAAATTTTAAGTGGATTGTATAATTTTTTTTCCCTTTCCCCATAAACGTGATGAGGTCACGTGGGAGATGTCAATGGTAATCGCGTTGAACAATTTAGAATGGTCTATTGGTTAGACTCTTTCTGAGAAACACCAAGGTGGTGTTTGGCAAGTTGGGTTGGGGCTAAAATAGTCACAAAAGACAAAACAGGCTATTTTAGCCACAACAAACAAAACATCACATCAAACCCATAATTATTACACTCTTTTCTCACAAAAAAAATCAAAAAAGCCAAAAAGCCAAAAAGCCCTTCCCAAACCAACTTTTTAGCCCAGGCTAAAATAGCCAAAAAAGCCAAAAAGCCAAAAAGCCAACCCACTTCCCAAACGGAGGCCAAATGTGTTTTTTTTGTTTTGGTTTTGTAAGACCAGTGTTATACGCATCAATTATATTAATTCATATATAATTTTAATTACGATATTATTATTGGTCTTATTTATTATATAAATTATAAATATTAAATTTTTTAAAATTATATACATTATCAATTAATAAATTATATACATTATCAATTAATAAATTAATTAATACATATAACATTATTCTTTTTGTTATTTATTTATTTATTTATTTTTAGGCTAAGTTTGGGAAGTTCCAAATAAGCCAAAAAGTCAAAAAGTTACTCAAAAAGTTAAAAAGTTAACACTATTCACCAAAAGTCAACAATTACGGCTGCACAACTCCCAATTCAAATTTTCCTCTACAAACAAATTTTTACAATTTTTTATTACACATTTTTCCATAAAAAGTCAAAAAGTTAACCCAAACATCCATATTTTCAATCTCAATTTTTTAGTCCAAAAAGACAAAAAGTGCACTTATTTAGTCTTCCCAAACTTGGCCTTAGTATGTATGAGAACAAAATATTTTGGGATAGGGGAATTGGTGATCCTCATTTTCAAATAAGGTTATGTTTAACCTTCTCTAAAATCGTCAAAAAATTAAAAGATCATTATTTTACATCATTTTATTTAAGTTATATTATCTCTTTATCACATCACTCGAACCTCAACTCATATTTCATAAAAAATTTAAAAAAAAAAAAATATTTGAGACCCCTTTTTAGGAATACCCCCACTACCCCTGCGGTGATATGAACTAATGATTGTTTGTATTGTCTTTTTCTTCTTTCTCAATTAAACCAATCACAAGTAAATGAGAATTGTGAGATGATATTTTGTAAGAATCTAAATCATTACTGTTAAAAAAAATACATTTATTTAGAATCTCCAAACAACCATATATGGAAAAAATTTATTATATATATCCTCAGTAATATATATATACACTGTTTGTCTACACACACCAGACCAGTTTAATTATTCAATTCTCCTCTCTGGCTCTGGCTCTGGCTCTGGCCCTCTCTCTCTCTCTCTCTCTCTCTCTCTCTCTCTCTCTCTCTCTATATATATATATATATATATACAAACTTATATAGATTGTGAATTAGGGCTTTGTGTTGAGTAGTGTTGTGAGTTTGTGTTGAGTTTGATTTGAAGAAGAAAAAGGAAATGGACGGAATTGATCACTTAGCTGATGAGAGGAACAAGGCTCAGTTCGATGTTGATGCCATGAAGATCGTTTGGGCTGGTTCTCGTCATGCCTTCGAAGTCTCCGATCGCATTTCCAAGCTCGTCGCCGCCGATCCTGTGACTCTCTCTCTCTGAAATTTAATTTTTTGTTTTTGTATATTGACTGTGTTCTTGAAATTAGGGCAAGGTGTATTTTGTTTTGTTAATCCTTCAGTGCCGTGTTTATTTTGTTGGAGTTGTTCTCTGATGTCTTGGAAAGCGGTAGATTTGACCTGTCTGTTCAATTAGTTTTAGTATTTCTGATTTGGAGTATTAGTTTGGTAATTTTGTTGGCGAATTATATAATTTTCTTGCAATCAAATGGAAATTGGTGGTTTTTCAATTTTAATTTTGACTAGTTAGCATTTAGGCTGTGTTTGGTCGTGGGATTTTGGGAGGGATTTGGAATGGGAAAAGAAAACTAGATGAAATATGAATAAAAGGGAAAGAAGAAAGGTGCGTGAAAGAAAGTGAAGGCATCTCCAAACTAAACACTGCATTAGTGGGTTAGTGCTGTATTAACCAGATGTCTGACTTGGCTGTGCTGAGAGCATCTCCAACCTTAACTCTTTTTTGACCAAAAGCTTGATTTGATATAGCTCACTCCAATGGCAATCCATTTTTTAATCAAATCTTCTTAACAATACCTAATCTATCCCAAAAAGCTTCTTTAACCAATTCTGGTGAAAAAAAAACCACATCTTCAATCCTCTCTATATATAATTTTAGCAAACGTAAATGAAGAAAGTATTGTTGAAAATTTGGTGAAAGATTTGATTCATACCTGATTTGATGAAATATTTGGTGAAAACTTATTTGATACAAGTTTGATGAAAGGATTGAATCTCATTTTCACCAAATTTGTGATCAAATTTAAATTTGATAAATGATTTGGTGGAAGATTGGAGATGCTCTAAGATAATGATTTAATCAGGACATTCGGGAATCTGGTCTATAATGAGAGATTGGGATGATTTTGGGGAATATAATTTTATTTTGATGCTTAAATATCCTTAACTATAGTTATTTATTTTTCAAATTTCTATAAGCATCCGTACTGGCATTATCGAGGGACTAATCTTTATGAATTTTAACTTCATGTAGTTTCTCATATGGAACATTTGATTTATGGATTCACATGGCTTTTCACAGTGAATCTGTCTTTTCATTTTCTGGTATCCTTTTAAGTTTAATAAATTAACAGAATAAGAATATGTTATTAACTTGGTTGAGTTTGTGCATTGGACATACATGAAATGCCTAAATCTTATAAAATTCTCAAAGCCAGGACCCTAATTCTTATGTATTGTTGGGGGGGGGGGGGGGGAAAAAAAAAAAAAAAAGAAAGAAGGAATGTTACAGAGTTGTTGGGAGTTTTTGGGGGCCAAAGAAAGAAGGAAAGTTACAGAGTTGTTGGGAGTTTTTTGGGACTCGAGAGAAGTTCAATGTGCTGGGTTTCATTGAAGCTATGGATTAATGCAAATATAGATAGGTATGCATGAAGGTAGATAGATGGATCAACATATGCTCATTGTGTAGTTGAGGGTTTCCATGCTGTACAACCCAGGGAAAATAGTTTACACAAAAAAATCTGTGTAATGCTGTTTGCTTTTTAGTTTACTTAGCATTGTTATGATTCTTATCAGTGATTCAGTGGTTTTGGTTATTTAATGTATATTTTTGTGCATTGCTTTGGGATTTAGGGCTTCCGTAAAGATAACAGACCTATGCTTGGCAGAAATGAGTTATTCAAAAATACTCTTAGAAAAGCAGCTTATGCTTGGAAAAGGATCATTGAGCTCCATCTCTCTGGTTTGTCTTCGTTTTAGGTTCTATTATTATTTTCTTAAATTTCATTAGCTCATTAGGGACATTTCAATTTCATCTTCATGTTGTAATTTGCAATCTTAGAGTGCAATTTTGATTATTGCAGAGGAAGAGGCTGCTAAGTTAAGGTTTTATGTGGATGAACCTGCTTACACTGATCTTCACTGGGTAAGTTCTAGTTCCTAATTTTTGTGTGCGAGTTTCTTAATTTTAAGCATATTGAAGTGCATTGACATCCTCGCATATATATATATATATATTAACTTATGAAAAAAAAAACAGGCATACTCATATGTTTTACTGAACTGTTAATAGCTTGCTTGACATGTTAGTTCTAAGGTACTTTGAAGACGCATCTTCTTCTTTGTTTCACAGATTGCAAAATATGAGCTTATTTTTCATCATTTTCACCTTCTATTGTTTTCCACCATATCTGTAGGGAATGTTTGTACCTGCTATAAAAGGGCAAGGCACTGAAGAGCAGCAGCAGAAATGGTTGCCATTGGCATATAAGATGCAAATTATTGGCTGCTATGGACAAACTGAACTCGGTCATGGTTCCAATGTGCAGGGCCTTGAAACCACTGCAACATTTGATCCTCAGACTGATGAGTTTGTTATTCATAGTCCTACATTGACTTCAAGCAAAGTGAGTAAAATGTTTAACCAGAGTCTTTACTTGATTACTGAAGAACGTTGGTCATCATTATTTAGGATGCTCATTAGATAACACATAGATGATAGAACCAATGTTGTCTTTGTTATCTTTAGTGAAAACCAGTAATTATTGTGCGTCAGCCTCATGAAGTCCTTGCGTCTTAACATTCTTGCTTATTATCTATAGGTGTCTTTTCTCATATCTACTGTTGCCTTGATTGAACTTTCTGAAAGTGGGTTCTTATAAATCTTACTTTACTATTTTGTACAGTGGTGGCCTGGTGGGCTGGGTAAAGTGTCCACGCATGGTGTTATTTATGCACGTCTTATAACAGATGGTCGTGACCATGGAGTGCATGGTAACTACCACAGCATCTGTTTTAATCATAGCATGAAAACTGGTCTGTTTAATTTGACATGCAAAACATCACATTTTCCTATTATAACTTTCTATTGTATTGCTTCTTTTCTTTTAGGTTTTATTGTCCAATTACGGAGCCTGGAAGATCACTCGCCTCTTCCAGGCATAACTGTCGGTGATATTGGAATGAAATTTGGAAATGGAGCATACAACACCATGGACAATGGGGTCTTAAGATTCGATCATGTGCGTATCCCAAGAGATCAGATGTTGATGAGGTGTGTACTTTACTACATGTGCCCTTCTATTGCATGTATACTGTCATACTAATTCTGGAGGAAGCTATTATGTTAAGGATTGGAAGTCGAAACTATTGCATTTATAGCAATCGTGTTGTGGTAGGTTAATATGTTTACCCATACTCATGTTAGGTCATGTCGAGATGGGTATTCCGCAGTGAAGTAAAGGGGTCTATGTAACAGAAATGCTGGGAATTGCTGGTTGTAGTGCTGGTTGTAGTTGTTTTCTTGTAGTGCTGGTTGTAGTTGTTTTCTCTGTGGCAGTGTGGTTGTTGCTGTGTTTGGCTCCCTTTAGGACTTCAAATTTTACTTGGATATTTGGAAGCACTATTTCAATGGTTTCCATTGTTAAACAAGAAACAGCTTTGTATGGTATTTTGATTAAGGGAAGAGAAGTAATCAAGATAAAAGCTTCTAATATCTATTTGATAGGAGTTGGTTGAAGCAGTGAAACATTGAGAGAAAAGGGGAGAAAAGGTAAACTGGTGTGCAAGAGTTAATCTTGCATTTTATGCTCCACCTTAAAAACTTTAGAGAAATTTTAAATGTTGAAGCATTTTTTAACAGGAATATAATTTATAAGAATATGAAATCATGTATGACCAATGTCCACACATACACATAGGACAATTAATATCTCACATCATTCAATACTGAGTTAAAAACTGAATTTACTTGTATTCTTCCTTAGTACCACTTAATCAATTAGTGTTACTATCTCTAATATGCTTGAACAAATAGGACTGCTGTTCTGAAGGTTCTTTAAATGCCTCAGGGTTTCACAGGTTACGCGGGAAGGGAAATATATGCAGTCTGATGTTCCCAGGCAGCTAGTTTATGGTACTATGGTATATGTTCGACAAACAATTGTAGCCGATGCTTCCTGTGCTCTATCACGGGCAGTTTGTATTGCTACAAGGTATAGTGCTGTTCGTAGACAGTTTGGATCACAGGATGGAGGACCCGAATCCCAGGTAGTCAAGCAAAATTCTCTATACGAAAGCTATAAAGTAATCTAATGCCTTGAATTGTACATTTTGTGGAGTGCTACCCTTGCATGCAGTCTTGCAATTCTTGCTATAATGTTCTGATTTAGGGTTATCTTTGGCGGGATCACTATTGAGGATATAATTCCTCTTTCTTGATTACAGTAACAATACTTCCAGTAATCCATGTAATCTTGATATTTCCTTGTCAAGAAAATCTTAAACTTGATAGTGTTTGTTTAAATAAAATTTTAAAATAGTAAAAATGACAAAAATCCTGAGGATGAAGCCTTGATTCTACATCCCATGGAGAATGGCATGCCTAAAGGACCTGTCTACGGACAAAGTGTGATTCAAACATGAAAATGCTTGTTTGAGTTTGAGAGGAATTGCTTTTGGCAAATATGTCAATTGTCATTTTTTCAAATCATGTCAAAGGTTAGGTGTATTTTGCTGTCATTTTTGCAAATAATGCTAACGGTTAGGTGTATTTTGCTCAACACTCCTAGCAACCCCCCAGTGGTGGGACCGGACCTGACAATGGACTTTATGGAAGAAGGCATCAAAGTAAACTAATTTCTAAGGTTTTTATTTTTATTTATATTTATCTTAAAATAATAATTCTGGAAGGTTTTTGTAGTTTTCTTAGTCTAGGTGACAAGTTGCTGGGAGCTGTCATTTATCACAATTTGTAAACATATATGTATTATTGATTGATTGATTTGTATGATTGATTGTATAAATTACAGATGGTGTAAATTACAGATGGTGAGGTACTCATTATATAGGAGAGGATTGGGGAGTAGGTGAGTGTGTGTGGTAGGTGAGTTGAGTGGAGGTGGTAGGTGATGATATATTTTAACACAATTGCTACTGATACAGTTTCTGGAGAGGAAAGCAGAAATAATTTTATCACAATTACTACTCTCTTCTCTTCTACCACAGACAATAATGTTAGGAATTTTTTCACAATTGCTGCTCTTTCTATCACTGACTTCTGTTCTTTGATTTTATTCTCTATAATAGTGACACTCCAATTGATTCATTTATGCTGCGTTTGGTTGGGGGATTTGATGAGGGATTTGGAAAGGGAAATGGAAAATGTAGGTGAAATGTGAATAAAACATATTTGTATTTCACCTAGTTTCACACACTTTTTCCTTTTTCTTTTCTAAATCTCTCCCCAAATCCCCCAACCAAACACAGCATTAAGGATTCACATTACTCTAGTTTCTGTATGAGATGAGAAATGTGATTTTCCAATTCTTTTGCAAATCCAACAATTTTTATTCTTCTTAATCTTAAATGAATTCTTGTTCCTTCAATTGATTAAGTAATTCGAGCAATGCCTGCTCTTCTTCAATGCCTTGATGCTACAGTCCATCTTGCCAATCTCTTTAATTTATTATCTAATATACCTTGAGTCCTATTTAATTCTGTTTGAATTTCTTGGCAAAATTTTAAAAGTCTAGATATCCTAGTTCATCATATTCATAATCATGCAGTTAGAATTATTCCTTACAAGGTAGTAGGTGTACTCTCCATTACCAATACAGGTACTAGAAGATCTCCATAGCCTTTGCTCTCAATGGAATCGCAACTATTATTTAGGCTTTATTTGTTTATAATTTATGTGTCCTTCTGTACTATGTTATGTAGATTTAGAACAAGGTTGGGGTGCAATGTACATCCAGCATTTGTATTTACTTACCCTTCATTTATGTAGACATGGGGATTTGGATAAGAACCTGACATGAGTGCTTCACCTATTTTGAAATAATCGTTTAACGAAGGAACAACCTGAAGTATACTTTGTATTCACTGAGATATATGGCTACATTAAATTTGATCTATATTACTATGTTCATTTTGCTGGTCATGCTTCGTGGTAGGTGTCTGAACAACTGGGCCTAGTCTTGAGGTGATTGTGTCTGAGAATATCCTCACTGTTGGTGAATTTCAGAAATTAATTCTTGATTGTTGCATCAGCTCTAAAGACCTCTCTAGTGATTTTGCTCCCCGTTTGTTCTTTAGGTGATCGATTACAAAACTCAGCAAAATAGGCTCTTTCCTTTGCTGGCTTCGGCTTATGCCTTCAGATTTGTTGGTGAGTGGTTGAAATGGTTGTATACGGATGTGACCCAAAGATTGCAAACCAATGATTTCTCGACATTGCCTGAAGCCCATGCGTGCACTGCTGGTTTGAAGTCTGTGACGACTACTGCTACTGCTGTAAGTGATAGAAACTGACTTATATTACTATCTTGCTCATCATACTTTTTCTCAAATGGTTCTCCACAAACGCACATGCATGTATGAGTGGAAAAGTTAGTTGTTGACATCTTTAATTGATTGATGTTGATGAGTAGATAACCGTTAGTAACTTGAGTCTCTTAAACATTGCTCCTTGCACTGTTGACGTGACACGACGTCTTCTGAGTGCATCAGATTAGACTATAGTTTTAAGACAGGAGAATTGTAATAAAGAACATGTATTTGAGACCTCTGGATACTAAATGGAGACAAGTCTCTATACATATATACTGGTACCTTAAGCTTTGCTACTGGTAGGTTTGGTTAAGATTGACCAATATACAGTAGCATTTATCAAACTTAATTTATAATTTTGCCTCTTAATTTCTACTGGAAGGAAGTTTTACTATTCTATTTCATTCAAAATCATCCCCTTCACTCCATGGCACTTAATTTTGATGCCCTTTGCTTTAGACTTGTATCAATAAACAGATCATCTGTTGACATTTGCTCAGCTGACCTTTCTATATCTAGATTCCCTATTCCTTTTGTTTCTGCAACTCTTGAGACTATTGTCTCAGAAGCAGGATGTTTTGACTCTTCAGTTTCACTGATTTATATTGTTTGACAACTTGGCTTTACTTTTTTTCCCCTTTTAATTGACTGTTACCACATGTTGGACCTCTCATATGAGCTGCATTTGTTGTGGATGTATTTTTTTTTTATTTTGTGGCAAATGATTAGTAGCTCAGCTCAATTTATGAGGCTTTCCTTATTAGGAGAGAGTATGAGAAACAGTGCATCTCTTTCTACAATGATCCAATGGCTATGAATTTAGTTGGAAACTAGAGTTTCTGCAGCAGACCTGTAGCTTCTTCCTCCTCAGGCTGCTCTAACACGACATCTTCATGGTACTTGTGATGTATCAATCTATCATTTAGTTTCCAAATGTTTGGTTACTCATTGCAACTTCATAAAATATCATTTCCAATGACGAATTCTTTGTTTGCCTTTCATTATTTTGATAGTGTATTCGTAATTAGTCTTTGACTCATTTAGAACTCATTTAACCCTAGATTTTTGTATTTCCTACGGAAGTTCAATTATTTCTAGGCAAATAGGTGATAACAAACTGAACCATTGTATCTTGTGAATTAAAAAAAGTATGAAACTGATTTGTGGTCTATTAAAATTACTCATTCTGCAACTAGGGTATGTATTTTATGAGCCACTCCCTCCACTTAGTTTGTTTATTTCATGTATAGCCTGCAATAGTGATAAATAAATACTTCATAATGGTTTACCACTCATGTTTGTCGCAGGATGGTATTGAAGAGTGCCGAAAATTATGTGGCGGCCATGGCTACCTTTGTACCAGTGGGCTTCCTGAATTATTTGCCGTTTATGTCCCTGCCTGTACATATGAAGGAGACAATATTGTGCTTCTTTTACAGGTACGTGATATGACTTACTTTTAACATTGTTTTTAATTGTTTTGATTTCTCTTTTATTCTTGATATGAAGGTCTTGAGATACGGTATTGAATGAACTTAACTTGCTGCAGCAGTAGTACTATTTGGAAACAAGATCTGCGTTCAATTTATAGTTTTAGTAAGCAGGGGATTGGTGATATGGATATCAGTAGAGATCTTCCACAGTATCATAATTGTGTTTTATATCTGAGCATTGCTTATAGAATCTGAAACTCATCAATCTTCATGCTGGACTTTGGTTTCTGGAATTGAATTTTGACTTCTAATTTGCATTTTATTTCTTTGGATAGACAGTAGATTGTAGAACTTACTAAGAAAGGGGGAATCATACAAAATATTTTGTTGAAATTTCAGTCAATTCAATCTGCCTTGATAAATATGTCTTGGAATTTTGGTTGCATTTGCACTGGTATTTTCTTTCTATGAGTTCAAGTCTTGTATCTACTACTGTTTTAAGTCACTAGATAGATAGCCTGAATAATTTTGTAATCCAAACTCCCATGACTGGAGTTTGGATAGGTTTAAACTATTAGGTTTCAGTGTATACCAGTTGAGCATTTGGGTATTAATATGTGGTAGATTGCAACTGGGTTATTCCATCACAGCTGCTCATGTGTGCCTTTCTTCTGTAGGTTGCAAGGTTTCTCATGAAGACTGTTTCCCAGCTCGGGTCTGGCAAGAAACCAGTTGGTACAACATCTTATATGGGACAAATTGAGCATCTAATGCAATGCCGTTCCAATGTTCAAAGAGGTATTTGGTCCTTTTTTGAGTGTGCTGATTATTTCCTCTTGTTTGAGCTTTCAGGAGTGTGAAGGTTGAAACAATGTTCTGCGAAGTGTGACAATTTACATATAACCATTTATTGTTGTCTTAAGAAGTTATTAAACCACAATCATGTATGTAATACTCGATTGTAATTTGAACTGTCAACTACACAAGACACCTTAACAAATCACTAGTCCAAGAGACAATGGTCTCGATTTGCATTCACAGTTCTTCACTTGTATTCTGTCTTTGATGAAATGCAGCTGAGGATTGGTTAAAGCCTAGTGCAATATTGGAAGCATTTGAGTCAAGAGCTGCTAGAATGTCTGTTGCCTGTGCTCAAAATTTAACCAAGTTTACAAATCCAGAAGAAGGTATTTCTGCTTTGATAGAAGTCAAATCTTCTATGTTTTTTTTATTTTCTGCTGTTACTGTGTAAAATTTCACCGAACTTAATGGAGGAACATATGTGCAGGAATGGTTAAATGCTTTCATCATTATTATTATTCATCAATTTTGGGTCATCATTATCTATCTGATGCATTGGCTTGGGTAGTCAAATGATGAGAATTACATGAACTAGATGATATGGTTCTTTAAGCGTTTCTTCTTATGCAGTCGTGCTTATAATAAAATAGATTTACATTTCTATCTATTGTTGTTTTTTCTCTTTAGGCTTTGCGGAACTCTCAGCTGATTTGGTGGAGGCCGCAGTTGCTCACTGCCAATTAATTATAGTTTCCAAGTGAGCTACTTTTTCTCTCCTGTTAATTTTAGATCTGAGAACTCAACAATATCTTTGCTTCAGCTATCTCCGCTAGAGATGAATGCTCAAGGAAAATTGTTTTCTTGTTCTTCTACCTTTCTGTTTTTATTTTTTTATTTTAAATGTGGAAATAAGAAAATTTCTTCTCATTCAGGTTCATCGAGAAATTGTTACAAGACATTCCTGGAAAGGGGGTCAGAGAACAATTAGAGGCGCTCTGTAACATCTATGCACTCTTCCTTCTTCACAAGCATCAAGGTGATTTTCTCTCCACCGGCTGTATCACCGCCAAGCAGGCTTCACTTGCAAATGATCAGCTCCGATCTTTGTATTCTCAGGTTTGTCCCAATAATTCAGCTTTAACTACTACCCTCTTTAACCCAGCTTGATTTGAAACTGCCAGTTTGCTTACTAGCTTCAAATTCATGTTTTGTCTTTAGGTTCGTCCAAATGCAATTGCTCTTGTTGATGCATTTAACTACACTGACCACTTCCTTGGCTCGATACTCGGCTGCTATGATGGAAATGTATATCCGAAACTCTACGAGGCAGCGTGGAAAGATCCTCTGAACGATTCAGTTGTGCCTGAGGGCTACCATGAATACATCCGCCCATTACTGAAGCAAAATCTCCGTACTGCCAGACTCTGAAAGAACTTTGTCCGACTGATACATCTGAAATTTCGCTCTCATGTATTGCTAATAAAGCTACCTGTTTGTTGCCCTTCAAATAGGGAAGGTTTAAGGTAGATTAATGGGATTTTTTTCGTGTTGGTTGATAGAACAATACTATTTATCATTATGGTGAAATTGGCTCCAAGAATTGTTCAATAAGGATTATATATCCCTTAAGATATGGCTCGTGTTTGAATCTTGAATGTGAATATTTCTCTCTTTTCTTCAACAAATTAATAATCTCTTTTTATATTGGGGAAAGATTTTGGAGACGGGTCTGACATGCCTCCAGATAGGGTTTTGGATACACTAATCACCTCCATGATTATATGCTAATTAATTAAGAGGTTATTTTGCTCATGCTCTGTCACAATGTAATTGTTCGTTTTTATTCGCGCATGCATGCAATTAAGTTCATCGTATCTCACAACGATTACTTTTCAACACGATCATTATAAAATGATTAGTTACCTACAATCTTCATGTGAAACATGGTTCGAAATCATGTGAGAATGGGACTAATCCTTGAACATCCCGAAGAATGTGAACTCTTCAACAAAATGGTGAGGTTTGGATCCCAAATTGGTGAAAAGGGTCATTGCGTTGTGGCTCGTTCTTGAAGACTACGGTTACCAAGGCTTCACGAAAGTTGTTCTTCGTCAAGACAATCGAACCATCACTCAGTTTTTCAAAAATGGTGTAGCCATTTTGGAATGCACCAAGCCCAGTGCAAAGCCAGTCGATCAAAACGGCGGTCTTTGGATATATTACAAAGAATGCAAGTTGATCTACGAAAGTTTTTGTAAAATTTTGAGTACGTTGTGCAACAATATATTTGGAGAGTACGAGGCGTTGGAAGTCGTGAAGAGAGGAAAGAGTTGGATTGTGAAGGAGGAGGATGGGCTGTTTGGAGAAGAGTTGAGTGGTGGAGGAGGTGGTAAAGACGTAACGTGGGATGAGACTTGGGGGTGGTGACTCTCCGGGAGGCCGCAAAGGGTGTAGCGCCCACGAGTCGAGTCTGAATCCAAATGCACCTGAATTTTATGGTGGTAGAGAACAGTGGCTACAATCGACACTGAATTCTGATGAAACTCTGTATGCGCCACTGTTCACCAGGGAAGTGTTTTTGGCATTTAGATATGGCTATCCACTAACAGTACCAGAAATAGCGTACTTCTTCAATGAGTGAGTCACTCGGCTTTTCAAAAAAATAAAATCGTTTATTTTAAAAAATATACTTGTTGTTTAGTTGATAAAATAAAAATATTACAATTATCAAATTAATTAAATTTTTTTCATAAATGATATGTGTTGAGAGTCTTACAAAATGAAGGGTTCGGATTATCGAAACATAATTCATTGTAGGTTTGGTTTTCTCAAATTTAAATTTGAGCTCGAGAGTCATTTAATAAAAAAAATTTAGAAATAGAAAATCCTTAGTCATAAATATTTTTTTACATTTAAAAGTGAAAAAATATTTTCCAGATCTATTGAGTCTTATCGACGACACTGCCATATGTGAACCATTGGCACTACTGCCTCCACTCCACCACCACAAAACCCACCAACCCCATAATTTTAAGGGTTGCAAGGAAAGTATTTTCTGCCTAAATCGTTGGTCCAAGAATGTTTTCTCAAAAAATGATTTCTAAGAAAAGTCACTCTAAAATATTCAGATTCAAATTAATTAACTAATGTCACCGGATATATATATATATATATATATTTTCCTTTCAGGTGGTTCAGTGCTCCAATAGTTGAACATGTCAATGAAATTAGGCCCCCACCTGGATACCCTCCACTGTGTGCGGTGGTTGCATTCACAGACGCTGCCATTGTTCCGGTGGTTCTTGGCGGCGGAACCCTCGCGAGGCTCACTACGGTTGATGGCAAAGAAATGTGGGTGACTGCGTACGGCCAGTTTCCTCCTTTTATCCTACGCACTTGAAATATCCATTATTTTAATCCTAAGCTCTCGTTTGACAAGAGAATTTTTTAGTTAAAAAGTCAAAAAATTATTAAAAAATAAAAAAGTTAACAACTTATACAAAAAATTTAAAAATTATCTTTTCTCTCTACTTTTTGCACATCTTTTTGTAAAAGGTTAAAAAGTCATCCCAAATATACTAGTTTTTTTTACATTATATTTTAGCCAAAAAATTAAAAAATTACTAAAAAAACATATTCCCAAACGAGGCCTAAATGTTTGAATTATGAATTTAGGTAAAAATTAAAATAAAAAAAGAGCTAGAGAAATAGAGAAAAAAAAAATTATATTTTCTTCTCCTTTTTAAATTATTATCTAAATTTATAATTTGAATACAGTCTTCAGAGGCCATTTAGTGTGTGGGTGGTGAATGATCTTTTACCTATGATTGTTTTTTTTTTTTTTTAATTCTTATCTTGAATATTCATAATTATTAAATTATGGTTAAAAAAAATTGAGATATAACGTTTTCATTAAAGATCAAAATTTTGACGTGCAAAACAAAAATTTTGAAACAAGAATGTAAAAGCTTTCAAGACAAAATTTCATGAGAGAAGATTCATCCCTACAAATAAATTATTTACTTGCTCCTTGCTAGCTTCAAATAAAATTTCAAAGGACACATTATATTAATTTTGGGTCAGATTACTACGCACACTTCTTTTTAATATAAAATTTATGATTTTTTATAGTGTTAGTTACTAATTATTATTGTAGTTACTAGTAATGATTCACCAAGGCTAATAAAGAACTGACACAAATTCTATAAAAAAAAAAAAAAAATTGTTCTTATCAATATCTATATTTACAAGTAAAATTAATAAAATCTTATCAACCAAAAAGATAGGGATTGAAATATCAATTGAAATATATATATAAGAAATTTAATTTTACACCTAAAAAAATCAATTTAAAATAAAAATATTACAAAACATGAATATATATAAAAAGATGCCTCATTTAAGTTTTTTTGCCTTAGGTCTAAAAACCGTTGAGTCACCTTTGATATACGCAAAATTACTATAAGAATAGAGTTTGATTTTGCTACATTTGAAAATCTCAATTTTGCTTGTGAAGTCGACATATTATGGAATCAATTTATTGTTGAGTCACCTCTGAACTATTTATCTCAAGTAAAAAATTAGATTGATCAGACATAAGTAAGCCCATGATTAAATCACATATATATTATAACAAATTAATGGTTTTTATGCTTAAAAACACACGTCTAATATAGATAAAAATGTTTTGATGGTATAACAATCGATATTAGATTAATTTACTTTTTTTGCATGAAACTTTTTTCAATTGATTGTATATATGGGATGAACAGTGGATCACCGAAGTAATCCAAGTTAGTCCCCATAATGGGTCACCTTCACCGTGAAGTTGAGATCTGCAACTTTAACAAATTCAGACTAAAAAATGTACCCTTTTTTGTTTTGTTTTGTTTTTTTTTTCTTTGTTTGTGAAAAGTGATTACAAATATAAGAAATATTTATATCATCAAATAGACCACTAACCCACAATAGAGAACAACAAAGCCTGACAACCAATAAACCAACCGGCCCAAGCCCAACACAGCCACCACTAAGTACATAAACCCCCATAATGGGAAAGAGATAACCCACCACAAAGAGTATCAAAAGTGTAATTATTTTAGTTGTCAAAAGTATCGTTATTTTATTTTTAGTGACAAAATTGTATATTTAGTGAAGAATTACTACATTTTGAAATCAAAATTTTTATTTGAAAAGTAAATCTTTTTGACACCAAATTGTTGTCTCTAAAAATGCATTCATTAGCAACATTTTAAAATTTTGTCACTAAAAATCTATTTTTAACTTTTCAAGATGCCGTGTTAATGATAACCCTTGCAACAACCCAAATTCATTCCTAAATATTTTTGCAACAACTTTTATTTTTTAAAATAAAAATTTAGTTTCTAAACTCTTACATGGTGAAGATTCAAGCAATGAGCTGAAGAGTCAAAAGTTCACAACATTTTGATAATTCATGAATATGTTTCCTTTTATAGTTTCCTTTGCTTTTCCTATTTTAGTTACTTGAGTAAATTAGTAGCACACTCAGGCAAATAATTCTAGGATAGTAAGTTTAGATTTACATAGTTCACATTCACATCCACACAAAATGTGATAAGATTACAAGAAGCTGTTAAAGTTAAGATGAGACATAATTTGAAACAATGATAGAGACAATCAAATACTTTTGCACTTATTATTAGATCCAAAAAAGCTTCATCATACATCATTAAAAGGACATCATCTTGAAGATTATTATCACCAAAGGGTATCAAGAGACAAAAAGTTAAGGGCTAACAGCTATTATGCATACATATATATATATATATATGTGTGTGTGTGGGGTTTACAGTAGCGTGAGTGAGGATTAGTTTTTAAATGCGACAAAAGAGGTAATTATTTCTAATAAAAGCGGCTTATTCTTTGTAATGGTGTATGGATGACAATTTTAACCTAACCAGTAAAATGACGTTATACAATTAGGATAACATTTTAAAATTAGAATATCTCTAGGGGGTTGATATTTAAGTTGTCATAACTATATTATAACAATTGGGTGCTCCAATAGGATTGTCAAAAACTGATATTACTTTTAGTAGAAGGTATAACTTATGGTTGGAAAGACTAGATAACGTTTGTGCCAAAAAATGACACAAACATTGTATTATGTGGAAATTACATTTTGACACCAATTATAAGAAATGCTCTATCAACCTAAAAGAAAAGTCCTGGCAATCAAAACACTAAATTGAGTGCTTGTAACTCCAACTTGGGGCCTTGTTTAAATAATCAAAAGTATAATTTTAGACATTTATATATAAGAGGTAGTTGATGAAGAAACAAGCATTTGTTAGATGGGCTTTGTTTGATACAACACACTATGTGGGTGTTTGGGAAGTGACTATTTTTTAGATTTTTTGGTTATTTTAGTAGGCTATTTTAGTTTTTGTGTTTGGGAAGATAGGATAGATTTGTATTTGAGTTGTTGTATTGAAAAATGTGTTTGAAATGATATTTGAGACTAGAATGACAAATTTGTCCATATCCTCACTTTTTCCAAAATTAGTCTAAAGGGGGCAAAATTGTCATTTACTATCTTAGAGTCTAGGCTGGCACTACACTGTCAACGTCACAGTGTAGCTGCCCCACTGCCGAAATGATGTTTTCTTTTTCTTTTCTTTTTTTTTTAAAATATAAATCATTG